GTAGTGTTTCCTCCCTTAAATGAAATATCTACTTTACAAGTATTGCAAGTTGCCCTGTTGTCATCCGTTCTCGTAAAGCATAATCAAACTTTTGAGCGTTTGAGCCACCATGTTTCCTGCCAGGTAAATGATGCTCCGCAATGTGGTGACGTCATTTGGGGCGACTGGAATCGATAAGGGAATCCTTTGCAAAAATGGCAAACAATTCCAAGGAATTGAAACAGTGGGACCGGTTCTCAACAAGAACCGGTTTTTGATACCCATCCCTAATTATGAGGCTGTAGGAGTGTCAGCTGAGTACAGGAAGCTCATTTATACAAAGATTATAGAGAGCAAACTAATCTAAAGCAGCTTACATGGAAAAAAGTCCTAAAAATATGGTAAATCAGTCTTTTAATCTCTGCAATCATTTCTTTTTTCCCTGTTTCCTTACACATTTAGCTCATTCAGAAGAAGAGGACCTAGTTACCGTACATGCTGAGCAGCGCGAGGAGGCCATGGGTACAGCCACAGAGAAAGCAGCCCCGCTCTACTGGGACATTAACTGGAATGTTTAAAGCCACCCTGCCTTATTTAAAGCAAAAATCAAACATTCCTTCTCCTGTTCTCACACTTTTCTTGTTTCTTATAAGTCAGTCCTGCCCAGTTTCTGCATTAAATTGCCCCGAATAAAACAAGTTGCTCATTTTAACATAATCTCAAGGTTACAGTTCCTGCAATAATGGACAATTCTGGAAAAATGCTCTAATCTAAATATGCGTTTTACAGTGTTGACCAAAGCATGTCTAAAATGTTTGTGAAATCAAGGAAAATCTGTTCATATTGTTTAAAAATGCAGTTCGATCTAGACATGCATGGAAAAAAATATGATTCCCAGAATAATTTTCCAGTGAACCTTATCAAAAGATAAAGTAAGATCCAACACACATTTTGGATCAGTAGACGACACTTTGGTGCAACAATCATCCGCCTCCTTTTTTGAATAAATGGGTTTCTGTTTAAAAAGAAGAAAAAAATCTATTTTTTGCTGGCGTATGTATGGAAGAAATACATTCTTACTTTAAATACAGAAGGACAACTTTTAAGCAGGTGGACAACTTTTATATAAATCAATTAGAATCAGTTAGAAGATGAGAGATCTGTGGTATAATTAGAACAATAATTGTAGATTATGGAAACAATTAGGTCTTGCGTATCTATGTATGATGATTAGCCTGTAATACCTGAAATACACCAAATCAAATGGAAACCAAGTACCAAGTTGATGATATAGAAAGATTTTTTTTGACCCAAGCTGTTAATACGATATGAGCGGCTAAGAGATCAAGGAATATTTATGAACCAGTAACTGTAGCCAGTTATGACTTAGTAACACTGTTACTGATGTAACTTACTTTCACAATCAGCCGTTCTGTAGCTGGCCTTTGTTGTGTTTTAGGTGACGATAGCAGACATTGAAATCAACCTGTTGACAATGTTGAATTCTTGAATTTGACTGCTGCTACCACACACTGTAATTTTAACATATTTGTAACAAACTGCTGTTCATGATAGTTTGATGAGTTTCTGATAGGTGTTAAATGTAGCAAAGTGTGAATTGATTGTCAGCATCAGCTGGTCTGACATTCACTAAAATCTGTTGTTCTTACAGTCTGATGGATTTCTTGTTTTTCTTTATGAGTGAAGGTTTTCTGTGAATTTTAATATTGAAAACTCCACCTGATGTGTCAAACCTAAGATAGCTCACACATATCTAACGATCAAAGAAATTCAAATGAGGTCTTAGAGTAGCTGCACTCGAGGAAGTGCTGCTATTCTGTTCTAATATAGCACAATGCTTCTTTACTGGGAGAAAGAGCATGTAACTGCTCATTAAATGGACACATTTTTTTACTTTTATAAATTGCTCTTGAAGCTGCTATAACTTTGCTGATTTCCAAACACACAATCTTGTTTCACCTTTCACCTTTATTAAAAAAGGGATTTCATGTGCGTTCTGTTTTCACTGAAAGTGGGTAGTAGATCTCAAATTGCAGTGCATCTCAGATAAACGGAAATTATGTGGTATACTCTGTAGCAAGATCCTTATAGGTTACAAAAAAATGTGTGGGCTTGAAAAGCAAACTTAAAAATGGTAAGTCAAGGCAATGTGTAGTTTTAGTCTTTAGACAATGTGATTAAATTGTCAACACAACAAGCAAGATTGCAACGAAGATTTGGAAATTCTTTGCTTAGACTTGGCTACTCACTTGACTGTGAGTCAACTGTATATTTTGCGATACAATATTTGAACTTGAAGAATCTTGCAACTGAGAAATATCTTCCATGTAATATTAGTTATAATAGCAAACGAAACTAACCACAACATTAAATACAGTGAACATAAAAAAGCAACAAAAAAAAACCCAAACATGATCAGCGTTGTTGTCAAGTGGTTTATTGCTAAAGACGTTATATCTCAAAAACAGTGTGAATATTTAAGTTTCTCTCATTTGTAGCCATAGGATTGCCCACCATAGCGTACACTGATGACAAATTTATCCATTGATCCAAACAATATGGAGTAATATGTTGTGGGCCACCTTTAATAAAGGTGAAACACGATTATGTTGTGGGTAATATGTTGTGGGCCAAAAGGGTTACTCCAGGACAGTCCCACTGTCCTGGAGTAACCCTTTTGTTTGGGCTCTTCCTTTTCTTCTGTGTTCACAGGACTGGTTCATCTGTTGTTGTTTTCTTGCTTGAAGGCAGAGATAAGAGGAAGAGGTGGGAACTTCTTTGGAAATTTCTTTTTATATCTCTTAAGAATGTATAGATACAGTTTACATGTAGATAAGGTCACATTAAAGCGTGAGTCACACTAGCTCCAGATTGAATCAGATGCAGTTTGTTTTGTTTTCTAACATGTCTAACTGATTTAAACACCATGTGGAAACTATGTTAACGTTTTCTTGAAGGGGACATCAGTGATTCCCTTTAATTTTGGTATTTCTTTAGATGAGGGAAAGTACCAACCCTGAAATCAGAGAAATTTCATGTAGACAAACGGATAAAGCTACCAGGTTGTCTCGGTACTCATTAGAGATTTAATAGGAAAGCAGATCACTGCTATATTTTATTTTATTTTATATATTTTTCATAAATATGTGTAAAAATGTATAATTCCTATTATTTTAACTTCTATTGCAAGGCTCATTAAATAAGTCCCTCCTTGCTTTAATATTTTCTTTCAATGCATCGTTGAGGCAGGAAGCTTTCCCTTGCACCCTTGGACCCACATTGAAACCTAGCAGCTAAACTGAAACTGAAAACTTAACAGTAAACTGCAATTTAACTGGTTGCTGCTACTTTAAATCATTAACAACTTGACATCATGACCTTATCTGTGCAGTTTAGAAAGAGGCTACTCCTTTCTTCATTTATATTCCAACGACTGATGGCATCTAGATGCATGTCAAAAATGAGTATTTTAAAGTTAGGCTACATCCAGGCACTCTATGATAAATAAGGACAGAGGCTCCAGCAGCTGAGATATTTTTGGAAAGTAAGGAAAAAAATATACAAAAACATCCAAACTGATAACAGGTCATCTTTTTATTCAGTAAATTAAATTATGTGTCATTAATTTACACATAAATCAGTTTATCCTTTGTGTTTATTCTCATTAGAGTATGCTCATATAAAAGCAAGAGTTATGTTAAATAGACACATGTGTTTGCAGAGCTGTTATTATTAAAGGCTTAGTGATAGATGATAGATAATGTTGAAAATAACAATAGTGCAACGTGTCTGTAGCCTCAGATATGAACTTTCTTATTTGGGACAATCTTTTGGTATATAAAGCTGTATACACATGTATTGTGGTCTCTCAGGTCTCTCTGTCTTTCTTGCTCGTGCTTTTGGATTACCTATAGCAATAGACCCCGTAAACATGTGTGTTCTTGTCTGGGAATCCAAATGACCGTACTCCTGCCTCTGGAATGCCTCCACAGCGCTCCCTGGGGTTACTGATGGGAAACCGAACACTGCCATCTTTTAACCAACCGGCATCGCACTGGTCAAAGTTATGGAAATGCCAGGCAGCATAAAGCTGGCCGATCAATGCCATCTCAGCTCCCTGATTTTTACAAGTATGTCCGGCCTGTTCGAAGGAGAAAGCCCCAGCTATGTAGAAGACGGAGCCTGTGGGAGCAGGAAACATTTGTAGGAGATATAGAGAATAAGTAATTATTTAAATGCTGACAAAAAGAAAATCTGCAACTGTTTAAATGTCCTTGTTGTTTTACAAGTCCAAACATGTCTGTCATATTTTCAACAGTAAGAGTGGGAGTATCAGTAGGGCTTTCCAGCTGGAGAGACAAACAAGCATTTTCCCACTGAACATGTTTCCATCATGT